TGAATTTAATACATGTATAATGAATAGCTTTTAAACCTACTTTTGGTAACTATCATTTTTCTTGGTATGTTGTCAAAGGGAGAAAGGTAGTTCATGCTTTCTTAGGTTTGAAGGTTTTAGTCATGGTCATCTTATTTTCAAGCTAACAAAGTTTTCCTTTGGACAGTGAAGGCGGGAAAGAGAATCCTTTTAAACAGACATTTCAAAAACTTCATTGTGTCTCTTTTATGTAAATTTTTGATTTTTTATTCTTATGTAAAAGCTGTTACTTAGACTTGAGTTGGTATTTTTAGACATTCATCAAATTGTCATTTCATTATTTAAAAATCACTCCTTTTCAGGAAATGGATGACTAATATTAATGTCATCATTATCAGGAAATAGCTCAGCATCTGTGTGATATTTTTTAGATGTATTGAAATTCATTTTACAGGTTTGGTTTTTATAGCACCACTTTAGCTAGTTACTGTGTTATGGAGGAAAGATTCTCCTTACTCCAGCATAATGGAGCTAGCATCATGATCTTAGAGAAGTGTTGAGTGGGAAGAGTTGGTTAGCTGGAAGTAAAAATGGACTGTCAGGAACTGATTTGCCTTCTGAAATTTTGGTTTGTGTTGGCAGGCAGAGAGCAGGATATGAATGATGAAGCAAAGCTGGGGAACATTATTTTTCTTTATTATTGATCTTGATATAATAGAAATTATTTAAAATACTTTCTCACCCTTAAATAGGCTCATGCTTGGAAATGATAGAAATTGTGTCTAATGATATGCTTTGGGATACTTGGATTTTGCTTTTGTTTTGGTTTTTAGTCATGTTGCATTAAAAGTAATTTAGTGTTCTGAGATTCACCATCTTAGGTTTTTATCATGCAGATAGTATCTTTTGTATAAATATAATCTACTGATAACATGAGAAAAAGATTTGTGTATTTTGTTGACTACTGATTGAACTATATATGTCTCTTGATGCTACAAAAATATGTATGTTAATAGCCATGGCTTTTTCTTCCGGTTACATTTTATATTGTAGGTAATTCGTTAGGTAATTATGTATTATTTCTGTAGAATAGTGACTAAAACCTTATCAGACTGTTAAAGGTGGAAATTGAATTCTAACCTGGCTTTTTTTTTTTTTTGATGAAATAGCACTTTGTTATTTCTGTTCTTAAATATAATTTTCACTTTATTTCATGAGTGTGTATTACTATGTTAGATGACATAACTTTTTAAAGCAGTGGGTTATTTCTATCTTGAGGAACGTGGTTGCAGAGTTAGCTTTCTTATTTCCATTCCACTGAATAAAGATTAGAGAAAACATTCAGAAATTTCCTTCTATTCAGGTCAAAGATGGAGGTGGAGATCATGTGGTTTTTGTTTATTCTTTTTAGGAACACTTCCCATTTCATTCTATTACTGAATAAGAATGTTGTACTCATTTATTCTTACTAAGTTTGCTGAAGATTAGTGGCATTTTTTTTCATGTATTGTCAATGAAATGTACATATGAGACAAAAGTTTTCAAGTCCCTTTTAAATCTGGTTTCTCTTCATCCTCTTTTTGTTTCTATTCAATTACCCATGTATTACGTCTAATATTTATTTAACTTGACTATCCTTTAGGTACAAGAGAGCAACTTTATCAGTGTTCCTTCCTAGATGTTCTTTTTTTCCACTGAGCTCCAGTTGCTGTTGTAGACAATACTATAGTATTTGTAGTTGAACATTAATCTGTCTCAGCCTTTCTCAGAGTTATTCATCTGAACCAAAGAAGATTAAAAATTATTTGAGTGACTAATTTCTTAATTCTTCCAAAGATATATAATGGTATGTAATTAGTACCATTCTAATTGCATAGGAGAGTTATTTCATTACCTACCAAGGATGCTTTAGGGCAGTGATTCTCAAAGTGTGCTCCTGAACCTGGACCCTTTGTCAGAAGGGTCAAAATTATTTTCTTAACAGTTCCAAAACATTATTTGCCTTTTTTATTCCCATTCTCTAGGGAGTGTATGGTGGAGTTTTCCAGAAGCTGCATAATGTGTAATATTAGAATAGATTGGATGAAGAAGCAGATATGAGAATCTAACTACCTTCTATAAATACAACATTAAAGATATTTACAAACAATTCTATTCTTTCTAAGTTTTTGTTTCAGAAAATATTGTTTTCATAAAATATATCTTTCAACATGTGATGGATTTATTTTGTTTATAATTAATTAATAAATACAGGCGGTCCTTACTTTGCGTGGTTCCAGAATTTAACAGTTTTGTTAAATAACATCAGTCCTGCATTACGGATCCAGTTTGAATTACCACCGTATATTAGCTGTGAGTAATTGCGTGAAATACATATTCTGATGCTAGGTCTTCAGTTCACAAATCACTACATAAATAAAACATACACATCACGATCAGTGACCAATCATATTAGTTCTTTCAAAGTCTGTCTAGTATTGGTCACTATGCACCTGTTATTCAGTTCATGCACAGAAAGCAAAGCCTATAATTCTGTTGCCTCCTTATCTCCTGGTGATAAACTCATGTGGTGTATTATGAAAATGGATAATCCAAAGAGTGAATTGGCTAACTTTCAAAGATGAAAGTACAGGAAAGAAACAGAGTGATAATGCTTGAAGTGAAATTTGAATCGAACACAAACGGAGTTGTAGAAGAAGTAGTTGATCATACGGATGTTGCCATTTCTGCTCCTTTCATTCTCCTTAGGAGAATGTAGATAACGCAGCTAGAGGAACTCAGGAAAGCGAACTTAGTGATAGAAATGAGGAAAGTGGTTCTGACAGAAAGGGTGAAGATGTCCCAGAGGAACACAACACACTTCCCATTAAAGTGCTTCTCAGAGGCGTTTCGCAGCATTGAAAGTGTAAAGGCTGAAGTGTTGAGAGCTGATTCAAACTTAGAAAGGAATTTGACAATTTGCCAAGGCGTAGAAAAGATGCTCGCTCCGTATCTTAGGTAACACAATGAGAAGAATAAGGAAAGCACTATTCAGATTACTCTTGATAAGTTTTTTAAAAAGAAGTAAAACAATTAATTCCCAGTGTTCCTAATGGTTTAGATTACAGTGTACTAAATAAATCTATTTTACTATTTTTTCATTTCCCTCTAAATTATAACTGGCCGTAAGAGAGTTTTTAATTTTTTCACAAAAATTTATAAAGGTCACAGGACAGTTGTAAATTTTTTTCATTCAGTATAAAGATCATTTTGCATGATTTCAGCTTGCACAGTCATTTTTATGGTTCTGCACCACTTTGAGAAGTGTGGACTGCCTGTATTTTAAAATTTCTTAGTTTAATTTCTAATATGATAAATAATAGATATAACCTATATAAACATATCTCTGTATGTTTCCCTTTAAACCTGTCTCTTCTATTTTCTGTCCTGATGAAATAGCATAGCCATCAAGCCTAAAACCTAGGAAATAGTTAGTACTCCTTTATCTCCTTCATAGTTTTCTTTTCTAATTATTTAACAGCTGTTATAGTTATGCCCTTCTCTTCATTCCGCGCTGTCTTAGGCACTCATACATCATCCTTCATAGGACATGACTACAATGAGATAGCATGAGGGAGTTGTTTGAGTTGGCAGAACTGTTCCGTATCCTGATTTTGATGTGGTTATATGAATTTATACATGTTAAAAATCACAAAATATTTCTTTTGGTCTTGCCATCATGTGGCATTTAAACATTTCTTTGCCATTCTTTCAAAATAGAGCTTACAGATATATCAACAAGCACTTACTGAGTACAATGTTCAAGGTATTTTCTTAGGTGCTGAGGAAGATACAAACATACAGAAGGCATGTTTCTGCCCTGAAGACATTTATATTCTAATAAGATAGAGATAGAAAACACAATAAGATTAATTGTAATTATCTTTTAAGGGCAAAAAAAAAATGCTGGTTTGTGCTTAGGAATGTGCAGGTGGATAATTCTTCATTAAAGAGATGGCATTTGAGCTGAGATTTGGAAAATACATTGATTTTTGGTAGCTAAAAATAGAGACAAAGGACATTCTGGTAAGAAGGAAAAATACAGCACACTGTCCAGATTTGTAAGTTTTCCTATTTATATGTCAGAAAAACTTTGGATCTATACTTTGTGAGTGCTCACATACTATTTTATTCTATTTTGTGCTCAAAAACACTTAAAAGCATTTTAGTCTGAAGCTCACATTTCTTATAAGTAGTAGTACTATGCCTCTTGAGTATTCTGGAGTTAATCATTTAGTTAGGTCATATTTTGATTCTGATTTTAATGGCTGTAAGGACAGTGAGCTATTCCTAAGCCTCAGTTTGGTCTAGATACTGTCTTACTCCTTTCAGCCTGCTTTAACAAAATATTTTAGACTTCATAATTAATAAAAAACAGAAATTTATTGCTCAGAGTTCTGGAAGTCAGAAAGTCCAAGATCAAAGCACTCTCAGATTTGGTGTCTGGTGAGGCCCCATTCCTCATAGATGGTGCCCTCTGTGTGTCCTTACAGCATAGAAGAGGTAAACAAGCTCCTTATGACCTCTTTTGTAAGATCACTAATCCCATTCATGAGGGTTCTTCCCTCCTGATCACCTCCCGAAGGCCCCACCCCTTTATACTATTGCATTGGGGATTAGGTATCAACATAGGAATTTTGGGAGGACACAAACATTCAGACCATAGGAAATAGTAAATATGTAAGCGAGAAGCCCGATATTTCTATAAAATTTTCTATTTACAAAGTAAATTTGAATAAATTAAGTTTTCAGAAGATAGAGTCTTATAAAACATTTCTGCAATTCTTCCCACAATTACCTTTCTCCCATTTTTTCATCCTTAGGTGAATGAATCAACTCTGCCTAAAAGCAACAATAATCTTTTCTTCATAGGTTTTCTGTGAAGACCCTGATTGATCGGTCTTGCTTTGAGACAATTGATGATTCTTCTCCTGGATTTAACAATTTTGCAGCTATTTTGGAACAGATTCTAAGCCACCGGCTAAAAGGTAAAAGCACAAATGTATTACTTATTCCCCAACAGCTCTCTTTGTAATAAGCTTGAAATTTTAGAAATCATACAGTCAGATGTGACTTAGATAGCAGCCATGCTACATCTTGGGAAACATAAAACCGATTTCAGAATGCCTAGTCTTTGGCCTGTGTCCTTAGAAAAGAATCTCTATTCTCAGATTTACACCTATTTCTGGGATGTATTAAAAATGTCAAGTGTATCAATTGCCACATCCAAGGAGCAAAGTCACTTTCCATAAGTAATTAAAATAAAAGCTTAAATTAAAAGTTAGCCTATCCCAAAAGTTACTAGATACTATTTTAATCAGTTTACAAAGAAGCATTCCAGGTGTTAAATTTGTTTGCTGATCATCTACTTTCTTAAACTTAGGAATCTTTGAAAATTTTTTAGCAGTAAGTAAAAAAGAAGTTAAAAAAGAGGTACATAAAAAAGATGCTTAACTTTGGTTTTCTTAAATCAGTAAGTTTATTTACATTAGAAATATAAATTTCTTAAAATTTAAGGGGTGACATGGGAGATATATTCTCTCTGAATTTAAAAAGTTTTTACATTAGAAATATATATCTGTAAAATATACTTGATAAAAATCAAGGATTATTTTTAGTATAAATCTTAGTAACAAATAAGAACTTTATCACATTAATTCCATTATCTAGGTTCCTAAAAGAGACTTGATCATATGTTTTTACTTAACATTTTAACATCTTTACAATCTTAATGATATAGTTTTAAATCAGTAATAATAATCTGCTTTGGTAATATAACTTACCAAACAGAATTTTAAGTATAATCTGAGGGTTAATTCTATTCTGTACTTTTTGATGCTGAAAGCATCCAGGTTTTGCTGTAAGTATTTAAATCAGTCGAGCAGTCCTGTGGGCCCAAAGCAAAGCATTGAACTCAATTACATGGGAGAAAAAAATCTGAATTCATTCAGCCCTTTGCAGTTTAAGATGGGGTCCATAAAATTACTGACACTTTTTTGGTTAAAATTTGGTTATTTTGCCTTTTAAAAGGGTTATTTTTTCCTTATTATTGCTTTTCTGTATTTCCTAAATCTTCTGCTAGTAATATGTTACCTTTTATAAGAAAATAAATTTTTTATAAAAGCAAAGGATATGGAAAATATTTCATATTTCGTGATATTGTCAGGGTTACTATACTGTGTGGCGATCATATTTTTAAATTTTATACATAAATTTATAAATAATACCTCACTAAAAATACATGGAATACAATAGACCTTGAGGTACTTTAATGTTCACAAGCATTTTATCTTAAGATCTAATCCCATGATTTGGCATACCATTTAACATATGATTCTCTCACAGAATACATAAAAAACTATTAATAGAAAACAGGCCATGTTGAGATTTTCATGAGTATTTGGGCAGACTCACTACCATGTAAGTGGACCCCTTCTGCACACTAGTCTGACATCTTCTGGGTTATGCCTCAGCAAAATATAGACTATAAACCTTCAGAATTGCTTCTAAACAATCAAATCTATTAATGTTATTTCTCAAAAATACTATAATGAAAATAGAATACCTAGTTGACTTG